TGCACCAAACACCCACAATTAGCCAAGCACTCTCTCTCAAAGCTCAATGGTCGTCTAGGGTTTGTTCTCAGGGAAGTGTAGTCGTAACTGAGGCTATAACTGTCTTTAAATAAGCCCCAAACCCGGGGATTTAGGGTTTCTTTACCCAGCACCTACTCGGCGAGTCAGCTCTCTGACTCGTCGAGTCCTCTCATTAATTCCACGTAGCTAACCCGACTCTACTCGGCGAGTTGAACTCACAACTTGTCGAGTCACCCCATAATTTCAAATTTTAACCATATGATAATATACCTGAAATTTCGGATGTTACAGAAACATTAAAGTTCTTTCTAATCTTTAGAGTTGATACAAAATGTACATATACTATTAGTTAGAACTATATAATTCACTAGACAATATTTGATAATAAATATTTAACAATAAATTATGTCAATCGAACTTTAAATTTAAGTTAATACATAAAATTTCATACAGATATAATTATATTGTTCTCTAAGCATGAAATTATATAATTTTGTGTTCAAACATTGTTTAACGAATTATACAAAATTATAAAGAATTGGTTAAGAATAGGATATTACATACTCTATTCTTAAAGAATATGGCAACTTCAATAGTTATTTTCTAATACAATGTGTAAAAAAACCTCATATATAAAAAGTCTCTACATTTCAGGAACAACAAATATTATACTTCAATATTGAAGCATAATTAAATTCTTATTTGTAGATCAATCGAATATAAATGAAAATATATATTTTTGAACTAAAATCAATAATCTACAACAATGATGTTTTCTTTATTTATAACTAAACCAAAAAGTCAATTGCATTTAGTTCACACATATGTTATCCTACATTTGATTGTAGAAATATCAATCACCCAACGCTATAGATTTTATCATTTGTGGTTTCCTAATAACGGATGGCATTTAGAATCTGGAAATTGGTATTGGTTGCCACAATTTCTCTATCTACCAATGTTCATATAGTGACCGCTCCATATATTTCATGTTTCATAACGTACTGAACATGCATAAGAGAGAACAATATGGGCCTCGATGAGGAGCGGCGAGCATGACGCGGCGGTCCTCAATGCCGTCGTAATGGGGGAACACCCCCCCCCCCCCCCCCAACTCATTGTATCTCGTCGTCCGGTTCTCGTTGCAATGGAAACGAAATGTGACGCACAAAAATTTAGTCGTTGCCATTTAGACCGTTTGATAACGGTCAATTTAAAAAAAAAATTACTTTTTTACCGTGTATATATATATATATATATATATATATATATATATATATATATATATATATATATATATATATATATTCGTTGCCATTTAGACCGTTTGATAACGGTCAATTTAAAAAAAAAATTACTTTTTTACCGGGTATATATATATATATATATATATATATATATATATATATATATATATATATATACTTTATGTCAAATTTTTATATATCTTTCTCTCATTCTCTCTATATCTTATACACATTTTTCATTGAAATTTCAAAAAATGGAGCAAAACCCAAACACCCCCCCTCCATCATCAAACCCAAACAAAAACTCGCCTCTCGGATTTGCGGGGTATGAAAATTATTTCAACATTTTTTCGTCTCAAGGTTCACCACAAATCCCATACCAACGTGCTGCTTTCAATCCCGCTTCACCGCCACTGAAATTTTCCAACTCACCTTACGTTCAACAAAATCAATTTGGTCAAAACCCAAATTTACAACAAAATATTTTCTCTACTTTTGGTTCGATGCAACAAACTACCAACCAACCATCGCCTACAACACAACCATCAGTTCAAGTGGAAGCGGGAAGTAGTAAGAAAGGGAAAGGGAAAGGAAAATCAAAAGGAAAATCAATAGTGGTAGAAACAGAAAATGCAGACGTTCCACAATGGTGGACATCGGAGGAGTAATACGCTTTGATGGCGGCTTGGTGTGCTACTTCAAAAAATGAACTTCGCAGAAATGGAATGAAAAAAGGAGCTTATTGGGGGGCGGTGCTCGACAAGTTTCACGCTATTTTAAAGAAAAAGTCGTATCGCAACAATGACATGTTGAGCAGCAAATGGGGTATGATAACTAAGCGGTACAGCAAATTCAACGGTATTTACAACCGGCTTGAGGCGCAACAACAAAGCGGAACCAACGACTTCGATTTGTTCAAATCGGCTAAGGAACAATATCGGGATGAAATGGGTCATGTTTTCGACTTTGAAAAATCATGAGAATTGTTGCGAGCGGATCCAAAGTAGAATAAAACGCCTACATCGTCGGAGGTTCAATCCAAAAGGTCTCACAATTCTAGCTCGGTCGACGTGTCAGACGCACAGACTAACATCGACGTAAACACCGATGACGATGAGATCCCGGATGATATCCAAGAGATATCCCCACCACGACGATCGCCCGGACGCGACAAAGCGAGGCGCGCTGCAAGGCATGTGGAGGAGGTGGAGATGAGAGCAAAAGATGCGGCGGAAATGAGAGCCAAATTCGACGAGCACAATTTATTAATAAAAGAAAAAATGAGTTGAAACGTCGTCATTTGGAGTTCATGGAAAGGCAGGTACGGGAGAAGTAGGAACAAAAAGAGAGGGAACTAATGACACATCAGTTGTCAATTTTTCGGACAAGCGAGGAGGGTTTAGCGTCATCTGATCTAGCGGTGCTACAAGGGATAAAGGAACAAATTAGGAAAAAAAAATATTTGGGTTAATTAGGATTGGTGTGGTTTTAGTAGTAATTTGAATGATATTTTAGTTATTAATTTAGGTTTAAAATTATGTTTTTTTAATTGTAATCGGAATTTTAGATTTTAAATATTATGTCTTTTTTTGTTTTTAAAATTATATGTTTTATAAAAAATATATTAGTTATTAAAAAAAACACAAAAAGAAAAAAAAACGAAAGCCAAAAAAAAGTAAAAAACAAAATGAAATAGTAAAAAAAATTATAAAAATAAAAATATTTATTTTCAAAAAGTTGGAATTGCATCTTGTTACCTATTTCTCCACTTGGTATTATAACTAGGGATGTCAAAAAATCCCGTAGGACCCCGATCCCGTAGGGGCCCCGTCCCGTATGGGGGCATTTGTTGAAAAAAATCGGGGGCGGGGGCAGGGGCAAGGTTAACCCCTGTTTAAATTTCGGGGGCGGGGGCGGGGGTTGGTAGTCCCGTCCCGAAACCCCCGTGGGGGCACGTTAATAAATTATATAAATTGACATATGTTAATTATATAAGTATAATAAACAACGAAATGATTTTTACGTACAAAAATTCAACAAAAACATGTTTTTAAGTTGTTCGTAACATGTAAAGTTATGTTATAAATATCTATTTGTTATCCAAAAAATAGTTTCTTTTAGCCCAAACAAACACTTATTTTAGCCCAAATAAGTTAGCCCAAAATCAATCGGGGGCGGGGAAACGGGGCGGGGGCGGGGGTTAGAAGGGGAATTCGGGGCGGGGGCAGGGGTGGAAAGGATGGAGATTTCGGGGGTGGGGGCGGGGCGGGGGAATGGGAAAATTTTGGGGGCGGGGGCGGGGGATGCAATCACCGTCCCGTTTGCCCCCGTTGACATCCCTAATTATAACATCATTTGCTTAGGTGGCATAACTTGATGTTGCACCTTGTTGCCCACACCCAATGCTCTAAAATGTCAATAACCGAAAATCTAATTTATAGCCATGTTATGACGTATAAGAAATTTAGCATATTCTATAAGAATGTTTTTAGATTCTTTAAGTGCGTGAAAATATAACATATTAAGCATATTTAGTAAGAATACGATCAGATTCATTAAGAATGATATAAAAAACATACCAGTAAACACTAAATCGCTCTAAATCACTACACTAAATCACTCTAAATCACTGAACCAGAAAACAATAAATCACAACTCCATTTTTCAATAGCCTTAACTAGTAAACACTAAATCACCAATTCTACAATAAACAGGTAAACTATAATCACAATTCCAAAATACTTTCACAAACAAAATTGGTAAACTATAATCACAATATCACAATCCAAAAAGTATCCAAGAATCGGAACCAATAAATCATAATTTGAAAAAGGAACGAAGAACTTAGAGGGCAGAAGGATTGGATTACCTAAAGATTGAAGAAGATGGAGTTCCTAAATAATGAAAGGTGTCGGATTTCCCAAGAAGATTGGTGCATGCGGCAGAGTTCCTATATATATATATATATATATATATATATATATATATATATATATATATATATATATATATATATATATATATATAATATATATATATATATAGTGTGTGTGTATATATATACACACACTACTAGAAAACTAGGGCAACAGTTACGGCACAATCCGTAGCTATCGGTAGGTATAAGGCGATACCTACAAATTTGCTATGGAAAATGTCCTGTAGCATAAATGCCTGTGGGAAATTTTTACCTACGGAATTGCTACGGACTAGCTACGGATATTTCCGTAGGTATAATACCTACGGCCAGTAATTGCTACGGAATACCTACGGATTTCCAACGGGTGTATGTTCCTACGGAATATCTACGGAATAACATGGCTACGGATTTTCTACGGATTACCCACGCAAGTATTTTCCTACGGAATACCTACGGAACTGTTTAGCTACGGATTAACGACAGAACTCAAGTTTGACAAAAATTGACTTTCTTCCTACGGAATACCTACGGACCTATTTAGCGACGGATTGCCGTAGCTAGTCCGTAGCTAATTTCATTTTATCAAAAAAAAAAAATTTTAAAAGTTTAAAAATTTCCATTTTTTTTGTCAAATACCATATCAATTCAATTTGTCCAAAATACACCAAAAAATGTCCCTAACACCAACTTTGACACATTCAATTCCATTGTCTTAAATACCATACAAATGTCTCAAGTACCATACAAATTAGGCATAACAAAACAAGCAAACAATACAAGTGTTTACAAATTCAATTGTTCCAAAATACTTATCAATTGTCCTCGGTTGGATTAGGGGGGGGGGGGGGACCACGGGGTTGATTTCCAGACATATTTATCATCCTCATAACCATCTCCATTTGTTCTTTCATTTGTTGTTGTTGTTGTTGTTCCATGACAGAAACTTGCGCATGCAACCTATCAACCTAAAAAATGGTGACACAATTCAATACTTAAACAATAATAGCAATGTATGTTAGTTTATTGTAACAATGCATTTTAGTTTATAATTATAGCAATACACTTAACTTTTAAACCATAATAGCAACATATATTTATTTTTATCAATTTAATCAATATTATCAAGAAACTACATAACCTTTAACCATAATAGCAACATACTTTTGTTTATTATCAATTTAATCAATATTCTCACCAAACTACCTAACTTTTAACCATAATAGCAACATATTTTTGTTTATTATCATTTTAATTAGTATTATCAACATACCTCTTGTTGCGTGCTATCCGACTGGGTGGACTGGGTGGATTGGGAAGATGGAGTCCCTAAAACCAAAAAATGTATATCCGATGCTCCTATCCCATAGATAGCACCCTTCTTCTTTCCTTTTCTTCTAAGTTGGCTTTCCTCCCATACATCTACATCATCCTTACGATTTGAAAGATCTTCACCAAATTTGTTGACCAACCCCTGCAGATACCCCTCCTACAAATTACAAAAAACATGATTGTCATATACAAAAATGAGACAATCAATATACATAAATGATAAAGATAAGTTACTAGTGCTTCTTTGGCCGTCTGCGAGTAATATTCAATATTTTCATGATTTCCCTCAAAATATTTTTTCTTTGACTCGGCAGTGCCATGCGTCTTCACGAAAACATCATATTGTGTGGGTGGTTTACCTATCAATTTTTCCTACATAAAAGTCAACGTACAATTAATGTAGTTATTGTTATAAAAAAATAAGAATAATAAAATTTATTATTGTGATACTTACTAATTTCCTACGGTGCTGGTCAAATCCTATAATAGTGTCACAACTAGCATTTTTGCTAGGAAATTCTACTCTCATGTAATTATTCGGCTAGTGTAATAACTTGTACTCTAAGTGAATACTATACTTCATTCTCATTCAAATATATCTCATATGTTCAAATAAGGGTTGGAAACCCTAGAAATCCCGACTCAAGTTCTTTATGGACAAGGATTCTCTTATTGGGCCTAATGGACCAATAAACTTTCAAATCGACTATCTAGGCTCTAAATGGACCACAATCATAATAATTTAGTATTTTGGGCCATGTAGGCCTAAAATAATCCATTTTCATCTCTAATAGGTCTTGTTGTGCCATAAATGGTTCCATTTGCCCTAGTGGGCAGTGAACCTTCTTAAGGGCCCAATGAGCCAAAAAAAAGTGCTTGGAGCTTCACAAATTTCGAACAAGGCCAAGGTTAGGCCCAAATCATTTAATTTTTATTACTCTAGCCCATTATCTAGGCCCAACAACATCACTTAACAAAAAAAAAAAGAAAGAAATCTTGCATGGGGAAGAGGTTGACACCTCATTTTTACATGTAGGACTTCCACACTAATTACCTCTCATGTATCAACACTCTCATACTTCCATGCTAAGGTCACTCCACTCTCTCCCCTCCCTCTCTCTTCTTAATCTCTGCCTAAGGCCATTCTCCCTCACCAAAAATCATTCAATTTTCCTTTCACTCCCAAAAACCTCAAGAGCTCTTCCATTTTCTTCCATAAACCCGTAAGTGGGTGTGTGTATGCTCAAGAAGGTCCCTCCAACTCACATACTAGGTAAGACACTTCACTTTTAATTTGGATAAATCCATCTTATGTTAGATCTTCTTCAAAACATCACAAATCTTGTGTTACACTCCTAGAACCATCCACATCTTCGAGATCTTTTCAAGGAAGTAAGCTAGGCCGAAAACAACATCATTTTCTCATATCGCTTCATCAAAATCGAACCAAACCCCAAGGTGAGTTCATACCCCTTGTTTTCGGTTTTCACATGATTTTGAGGGAGAATACAAGTTGCTTTGTGTAGATCTATGTGTATATGCATGACTATGTGTGTTTTCTTGAATCATTTGGTGATTATATGTTGCTTACTTCATTAATCTAAAAATATGTCAAGAACTTGAACTATATCACTTGGATCTTTATATGAATCTTGAGAGAAGTATGTTTTATCAAACATAATACATGTAAACTAGTATATACTGGATTTATACACTTGATATAGCAAAAATGAGTGTTGTGGTTAGAGATCTATAAACTAAACTCACAAAATAGCCTTTGACAGAAACGTTTTGGTCCAATCTCGGACTGTTTTTACCCTTTTAATGGAAGTAATTTTCAAAACTGTTTTGCATGGATAATGTTCAGATTTATACCTTTAAAATGACTACTCTCACGTTTTTATATGATTTTTCTACAATTTTTGGAGAATTTTACAAAACTGCCTATCAAATTTGACATACTTTCGGACCAACCTGTGAAGGTGAGCAATTTCACACTAGTTTGAGGCCATTAAAAATTTTGAGAAAAATTGTGAACAAATTAGACATGTTTTCCAAACATCCAGAGTTTACGGATCTAAATTTCGACATACGATAAGTTTTCTACAAATTTTCCAAAAACTAGGTCGGAGAAGCCCAAAACCAGAAAAATATGTATTTCCACAAAAATCAAGCCAAAAATGATATTTTGACAAAAATGGGTTTAAAATGTTATTTTTATCACAAAGTAGTCATCAACACAAGTTTTTAACAAAATTGGAGATCAAAGTTGTAATAATCGTCAATTTTGAGTCAAGTCAAGTCATCAAGTCAAACTGGTCAACTCGATTAAACCTTGTGTATTAGGGTTTGTGTTATGTACATACTGTGTAACTTGCTATATTAATGGGAAAACATCACTTGGGAAAAGTCTCGTGTTAAAAATTCCTGAGCCTTAGTGCTAATCAATGAACTAAACTGATAAAAACCATGTTGCATACTTATCGGGAGTGTGTAGGATCCTTAATCATGACTTAACGGGACTCAAGAACCTTGCATTGCGGGGCCAAACACTCACAATTGTCACACATGGAACCTCCCTCAATCGTTTTCACTCTATCTCTCTCTATGACAAATCTCTCCCAAATCTCTCCAAGTATATGAAACCTCTCTCAAATATCTCTTTGTATGAGAAATATCTCCAAGAATTTCAAATCTCTCCCAAATCTCTCCAAGTATGTGAAATCTCTCTCAAATATCTCTTTGTATGAGAAATCACTCCAAGAATGTCAAATCTCTCCCAAATCTCTCCAAGTATGTGAAATCTCTCTCAAATATCTCTTTGTATGAGAAATCTCTCCAAGAATGTCAAATCTCTCCCAAATCTCTCCAAGTATGTGAAACCTCTCTCAAATATCTCCTTGTATGAGAAATCTCTCCACGAATGTCAAATCTCTTCCAAATCTCTCCAAGCATGTGAAATCTCTCCCAAATCTCTCTCAAAAGTTTCCCGTAACTTTTTAGAATCATTCGGGTCATTCCGACCCTTAACCAGGTCAAAAACGGCTTAAAACGGGGTAAAATCGAGAAAAATGGACCTTAGGAACCGAAACCCTTCTCAAGGAGCCGAAGCTCCTTAATGCCGAGACTTAGGAACCGAAAGTAGCAAGGACCGAACCGAGCCTCTGTTGGCTGAACCCGGAGGACCGAACCCCTGTAGCTGAGACCGAGTCTCGGTCTCTGTCTTCTTTTCGCTCTCTGTCGCTTCTGCTCTCTGTCGCTTCCTCTCCTCTCTGTTGCTTCTTCACTCTCTGTTCCTCCCGCCTCTCTTCCCCTCTCGGTCTCTGTTCTCTCTTCTCTCCTCTCTGTGTCTTCTCTTCTCTCGGTCTCTCTTCTCCCCTCTCGGTTCCTGCTCTCTCTCTTCTCCCCTCTCAGTTTCTGCCCTCTCTCCTCTCGGTTTCAGCATCAGAAGGCCGAACCTCGGCCAGAATTCGGAATATTGTCACTTTTAGCCCCTTTTTGATATTTTTAGCATTTTAAGCCCGTTTTTCATGATTTTAAAGCAGGATTTTTTCCAGAAATTATATTTTAACATAATAAACACTAAATATTCATAATTTAAACATATTTTGATGAAAATTATTATCTAAATAATAAAGATCTAATGGGGGATTTATTTAAGGTGGAGTGTTGACCTTGCCTTAACTTATGTCACAAGCAACCACCCCACACCCACTCTATGACCATCCATACCTCCCCACCTTACCTAGGTCACTTCAATGTCCCTTACACTCAATTTACACTCATTCCCACGTTTTTAGAGCTGGAACAAACATAATCTTTCCTCATTTCTCTCATTTGCTCTCATTTCACTAAGTATCAAACACCACTTTTCTCTCAAACTTTTTCCACACCAATTTTGAGATTCAAGGCTGATTTTCAAGTTTTCTTCCACTCTTAGTAAGTATAATTCATCCTCCTTATGATTATTTCACTTCATTCTACTCAAATCATTGATTGCTTATACAAACTCCATAACTATAATGTTAGATTCTCGAAAATCTTCAAGACATCTCTAAGTGTTCTTGAGTTAAACACTTCCATTCTTCAACAATAATCTACTGAAATCACTTAAGGTGAGTTCATACGCCTACATTTTCATTTTTTCTCAAGTTTTTAAGGGGGGAATACAAGTTAAAACACCAAGAACATAACTAAATTTTTCTAACAGCCTTCATCAGAAAAGTTCAACTCCATTCACGGACTGTTTTGGGAATCTTAAACATTTTTGTTTTCAAAATTGTACAAGGTTCAAATAGTTCATGTTCTTAGCTTTAAAATGACTACTTGCACATCTCCATACGATTTTTCTACAATTTATGGTGATTTTTACAAAACTGCCTATTATTTCAAACAACAATCCGGACCAGTCTGTGATTATGGACTTTTTCACCCAAGTTGGAGGTCATTAAAAATCGTGATAAAAATTATCAGTAAACTAGACACATTTTTTGAACTCCCAGAATTTACAGATCTAGTTTCGACTTCGTATGATTTTTCCAAAACAGTGCAGAATGGCTAAAGTTAGCCAACAACATGTAATTATCATAACACTTTGTATTATGTTGAGCAAAGTGTATAATCATAAGTTCTAATTATTGAATGTGTTTCTTTGTTAGTTTATCATCATGAACTGAAACTAAGTCATTCATAATAAATATTATTCATTCATTTTAGAACACATATATTAAACTATAAAAAGTATAGTTTAATAAATTCGTAACACTAATACATTTCCATAAAAGAGTTCTTACATATTACAAACGTTTTAGATAAACTATAATAGGTATAGTTTATGATATATTGTATAACACACTCGTACTAAAGGATTACATTCATACAGAAAAGGTTTACACTCACACACATTATACGTAAAGTTGTTACCCTAAATTGTGAGACATTCTCTCTTTCCGTACGTCCGAGTGCGGAATATAATTCCTGGTAGTTATAATCAGAGTCTGTTGGAGGGAGAACGTGATACTTGTATATAGATCTATATTGGGTTTGACACCCCACACCTTGCTCCTAGCTACAGTGGGACCTGCAGGTCTACGGGTGACAAATGTCATTTCATTTTCGCGACGCCTGAGAAACGTCGTGGCAGGTTCACATAGTCATAGTATGATTATAGCGACTCACATAGGGAGATAACAATTCATAAAGTTTATGGGATTTCATAAAACCTAAGTAGGTTTTAGGTTGATTTAAATTCACTTTTTATATCAATTCAAACTCATGAAATTTCTAATAAGTAAGAATGATTTCTTATACATTTTGGTCTTTGGTCATAAGGCTACATTATACGGATTTTAAGGAAAATATCGGATTTTTCTAAAACAAACGCGACATTTACATGAGAAAAGACTTCTATTAAGTTTTATAGCAAAAACTTATGGACTCACCAACCTTTGTGTTGACACTTTTCAAACAAATTGTATTCTCAGGAAATCACTAAACAGGTAATCAAGTGCTTTTGAGGATGGGAAGTTA